ATCCAATGGAATAAAGCGAATTATCGTTCGAAATATTAAAAAAAAAATCCAAGAATGAGTGCTTCTAAAGTTGCTGCTGATTTACAAGCATTATATGGAGTAATTGTTAATCCTGAGACTATTAGAAGAGTAATTCGATCTGCTGGATACGGTAGAGCAGCCGGGAAAATTTCTTCGTAAGGGAAAAGAATAGAAAACTCAGACTGGCTTTCGCAAAATCCAACATAAATAAGAATTCTGATTACTGGAATGAAGTTATATTTGCAGATGAGAGTAAATTTAATATATTTGGTTCTGACGGTAGAATCTTGGTGTGGAGAAAACCCAGGGAAGAATTTCGCGAACAGAACTTGGTGCCAATAGTAAAACATAGTGGAGAAGGAGTTATGGTATGGGGGTGTATGCCGTCCACTGGAGTTGGTAATCTTGTTTTTATTGACAGTATAATGGATCAATACAAGTATATTGACATTTTAAATCAAAATTTGAAATCTTCAGCACGAAAATTGAACCTTCATAACGATTTTAAATTCTACCAAGACAATGGTCCCAAGCCCACTGCTTTGAACGTTAGACTCTGGCTGCTGTATAACTATCCTGAAATAATAAAAACACCCCCACAATCTCCAGACTTAAATCACATAGAGAATATTTGGCAAGAATTGGAATCAAGAATTCGCAAATGCATCATTTCTTCAAAGCAACAATTAAAATCGGTGTTTCAAGAAGAATGGGGTAAAATCTCTCCAGAAATCATAAAAAAATTAGTGGAATCCATACCAAGAAGATTAAATCATGTTTTAAAAGTAAAAGGAAATCCAACAAAATATTAAAACCTTTTAAAAAGTAAAATTTTTGGATAAATATTTGATGGAAAAGTAAGTGTCCCATCACTTATGTGAGCCATTTTTTGCTCCGTTCTAAACAATTGTATTTTTATTAAATTAATATTTTAATATTTTGAGAAAATGTACGTTATGTAATAATTGTTACTAAATTTAAGTATGAAACACACCCACAAAAAATTTTTACATGTTTCCTTTTGTGAAGCACAAGTGTCCCATCACTTTTGTGAGACACTGTATTTATTACCTTAGCGCTTTTGAAGTAGATTTAATTCAATATGTTTAAATGAAAAGCAAGAAAGTTGCTTGTAATTTAATATTCCGTAGAAAGAAGTCGCCGTGTACACATCAGATTTCTGATATTTGTTTTCCTTCATGGTGTTGCAATTTCCACGGCCAGCAGTGCATTTTGTTTCTCTGCGTACTACCTATTTTTCTCTTGCTACCACCGGTTGAGAATAGCTGAACTAACCAAACCAAAGCTACTAGGAGAATAGAAGTATGCAATTCTCGAGCAAACCGAATACTTTTGGGGAATGATGCCATTTGTGAACATCATGTTTCAGAAGCTGATATGAAACACTACTATGAGATAAAGTTGTCCTTTTAAAATCACAAGATGTGGAAATTATTATTACAAAATTAAAACAAAACAAAACAAAACGAAAATAACTTTTCTTCAAAATACTGTCAATAAATAAATACAAATAAGTCAGATTTTGCTACAGAACACAGCTAAAGATAATTTAATCATTTTGGCAAAATTTCATTTCAATATTCTAAATACATTTTGAAAAATCAACGTAATCGCAATCAAAAGTAACGAAAAACACAGTTTCTCAGAAAATGCATTTAAAGATTTTAATACAGCACAAAAAATTTTGAAACCACTTCAGATCTTTAAAGCTCGCCATATTTGTATGTTAAGCCCTCTTTTGCTTCATTCGTAACTAATTTTGACTTTCTTTTAGCTTTTTTCTGGATAACTTTGCTGCTTGTAGAGATTGCGTTTCGATTTCTGAATTCGCTGTTTGTCTATCCCCATCTAGATTTCAAACTTAATGGGATAAACTTCTATTTTTAGATACCTGAAAACAGGTAAAAGTCCTAAATATCCTGAATTAAATAATAATGCAGCAATATGTGCACCTAAAAACAATGTTTTCAGTTGGACAAAAGTTTCTTTAGGTAAAATAGTCCACAAAAGGTTATTAAAACACACATTGTTTTGAATCTTCCCATGTAGGCATTTTATCAGCAAATTCATGTCATACAGTTGCTTTTACAGATATGTTGCTTTTACAGTTTTTATATTGTTTAATAAGTATAAAATAGCTGTTTAAACTTATCGTTTACATTTTTACGACCCTTTAAATGCCAACATTCGGCATCCGAAAATTCACTTCCGGTTTATTATTTATACTATAACTTTGCTTCTAGTTATCGTAAAAACAAAAATAAAGCATTTTTGGAAACCTAAATGTGGGGCCTATAAAATGAATAAGTGAAAACAAATTCGAAAATTTTCATCAATAAGACGATTTTATGTACATACCTTAACGACAAGGTTAAAATAAAAGAAACTCCCTTTTTTCAATTCGATCTGATATACAGTCAAAAGTCGTTAATCCGGACTCGTCGGGACTTCGGCGGTTCCGGATTATAGATCATCAGTTTAAATCGCGTAAGATGGCATGCAGAAATTCTAAAATTAAAAATATGAAACCGTAATTTATGAAATAAAGAAAAATTATGATCTCAAAATTTACAAAAAAAAAGCCTCATATTTATTTGTTCACTTTATTAAACATTTCTTTCAATTCTTTTCTGCCCACCTTTTCTGATTACTTTCTGGCTGATATTTGGGTTAAGTTGCTTCGTTTTATGTGATGTTTAAGTTGCTTCGTTTTATGTGATAATACTAGTTACAAAGTTCCGCTGTTCAAGTCCCGTTAATTGCTGTGCCGAGAATACCGACTAACTTGTCAATCGAAATTTTTTCATTTTCACTAACCTCTCTGTCACATTCTTCATGTCTTTATCCATTTTTTGCAGCAATTCCACTTTTTGTTTGATGGACATCGAAACATACTTTCGTTTTGTAGGATCCTTTGGGAGTTCCAGAATCGGATATTCTATTTGACATAATCGAAAGTTCAAGTTTACTTTTATAGTATTGCTCTTACAGTCTGCGAAAAATAATAAGCTGGATCCAATTCGAAAATTAAGGAACAACGCAATCATCAACATTAACTGAAATAGATAATTAGATAATTTTAGCTTATACCGTCCGTTATACATAAAAGGCGCACGCGAAAACGTATTCTGCGCTTGCGCACACGCAAATGCGCAGTCGAAAGAGGTCTTACGCGCACGCGTAAACGCCTATGCGCATGTGTCAACGCGGCGCATGCGCAGAAAGTATTTAGCTTTGAGGTCCGGATTATAGATCATCCGGATTATGGGTGTCCGAATTAACGACTTTTGACTGTATTTGTGTTGATAACAGCTATTTTGAAAGATTGGACGGAAAATAAATCAGGCCCCAAAATTTCATTCTAGAGTGTCCAATTGGCTTTGTTGTTTAAAAAGCCAATTTTCGAGGGTTCATAACAAGCCGTGTGGTTTAAACTCCATATTCATCCAAAGTATTACTTCACACTCCGAATGGCAACCTCTGACAAAGAATAGAAAAATCAGTTTATCAAAATTCAAGAGGACTTGCATGTTTTGAATAAAATTTCGAATATTAAAGAACCAAAAATCATTTCAAAAAGCTCTAAGCACTTTTAATGGGCAGTAGAAAAGTGAGCCCACAAACCGCTTAACTACTAATGTTGAATAACGTTATTTGCAAAAATCTTTGCTAAACTCTGGCTCTGAAATATTCGAATAATAAAGTAAAATGTTAAAAATATTTTTTGAATTATCGACCCTCATTTGCACACATTTGGGAAAAGCATGTTTAAATTACAGAAATTCAAAAGCCTTATTCGTACTGCCCACCTTTTCTGATTACTTTCTGGCTGATATTTGGGTTACTAACTCGTTTTCCAGATTCCTAGAAAGGAAACCTGTGTACGTTCACAAGGAAAATCTGTGTACTTGAGTATTTAAACTATCCGAATTGAACGTAAGGAATAAAATTAAAAGCACGCCTTCGTCCAAAAAAGGATAAGGGAAAGTTTACCCTATTCGCTTTATAAATGAAACCTAACACGTTCGCCGAGTTCTGACTTGTGGTAGAATAACGAACCATTCTAGTTCTGTCAACATTACGTTTCAGCTGCTGGTGCTTTCCGTCTAATCCAGTTGATAAATTTGTAAATTACTTTCTTAAATGAATAAGAAGACACGTCACTCACAAATGAATGAGCCTTATCATAATACGTTTCTATCTGTGATTCCTCAATTCCCATACTCTATTGGAGACGTTTATTTATAATTAAATTAATGTCACTAATTTTGTAAAATGCAACGTGAGCAACCTTAGAATATGCGAACCTTTGCCGGAATAATAAGATTCGAGGGACTATTTAATATCGAGGTAATGGCTATCTCGATAAATTCTAGAGATTACGATATGATGACGATGGTTTTAGCGATTAATTTTTGTTGCCGAATTGGGAGATAAATTACGAAAGCGAGCGTTTGGTGACAAGGCGAGCCTTTGGTGACATTTTGGCCGGGTGCCGGTATAACTATAATTGAATAATTGGTTAAGTGGCTTCTGGACTCTTTTTTTCTAAACGTAACTGTAACCGTATCCGGCCCTTTATTTGTAATTCTAGATGTATATATCTTATAGCGGTTAGGAGAAATGGAAAGTACCGGAAAATTGCCGGTAGCCCAGAGGAAACCACATAAGGCCTTGACAGAACAACAGTTCTTTATTCTTTATTTTAGAACTGACTTCGGAGTGGTGAGAAATCTCCGTCCGGGCTTCTGTCTTTATTAGTATTCATTAAATTTTAATTTTCTTTGGATTGCAAATATAATAAAAATAGTGTAAAAGTTCAGAAATTTCAATAAAAATTCATTTACTACTATCTTCGTTAAACATTCAGTACGTTAATATCTCTTCAAACGAATAAGTTATTTCACTAATAAATGAGGAAAAATGTGAAAACATATTCATAATATTTTTAACATTACCTAAAGATTTTCCTTCGCAAGCAATATGCAGAGCTGTTCGGCCTGATAAATCTCTGCTGGCAAGGTTGGCTCCCTTTTCCAGAAGCAACTTAACAAACTCGTATTCTGAAATATGGACCACCAGATGAAGCAAGACATTCCCTAAAGCGTCATCACGACTGGAAGACCAACGATCAGCAATTGCATAGTCTTCTGAAATTTAGAATTATTTAAATTGTTAACTTCTAGAAATTAAGTAAATATCAGTTTGTGTACGATTTAATAAAGATATCTTACAGATTTTCTTATCAAAGAGCAATATTTAAAAATTACAAGAATTTCAGTATGACTTTTCTACACACCTATCAAATCACAAAGACAAGCTACGAAGAGAAAATATACACTGCAAAGATATGTTTATGTTTTTTTTTAATGTTGATTATAAAAATTAATAAGAACATTTATTAAAAACGTGTAAAACTCTTAACACAATTAATTCCTAAGCTTTAAGTTAAATAAATATTAATTGAATAATCAAATAAATAAATACTAACCCTCCTTAAATAAATATAATTAAATAAAATGGTAAAAAGTTCTTTTTCCCCTTAAATAGAAAGCAGAAACAACTTGACAGAGAAAAATCTTAATTTTTTTTTACTCAGCATTGGGCTTCTTTTAATACAAAATATACTCAGAGAATATTTTCATAAAACTTTAAATGTCTGGGGATTCATAAGCTCTGAAATCATGAAATCTTATATCGTATACTGTGGTGTATCGGGAACTTAATCCTAACCGAACTTACTGGCGGGCGCCAAGCGGCACCAAGCATCGCGGAGAGCGAGATTCGATTGTTGTTTGGGTCTCATCCCAAATAACACACACTAAATAAATTCACTGGTTCGATCTTTATTAATTCTCATAATTAATTACAATTAACTCATAGCTGTGACCAGCCCTCTTACACCGTCGATGGCGATTCTCAAACTCGTCTGATCATCACATTACAGATGCGCATGCGTGGATTACATTACAGATGCGCAGGCGCGAACATGCCGCCCCGCGTTGCAATGCTTAGCATTCAACTATTATAATTAAGATATAGCATAAAAAAATTAAACAAGTATATCATAAACAATTTTGAATAAGTACTTTTACATAAAATCATTATTATAATTAGACATTTACCATATACATTAGCGTACAACTCAAAGCAATACAATATAACATTTCAGTTACATAATGACATTTTATGTGAAACACATTCAATACTGTACAATAACTATAAGGACAATACTCATTTTTGTATTGGTAAGACACATAATTTGGTAATTGGTCGTTTGAAAGTTCCAGTTTAAGTTTTTACATTACACACGCGAACCTTTCCATCTTTACCATAAAATACTCTATTATACGACCAACCGCCCAATTACAACAAGGCAAATTATCTTTAATTAAGACCATGTCTCCAACTTGTATATTGTTTTTAGAACTTTGCCATTTAGATCGATTTTGTAAATGACTTAAATAATTGGAGTTCCATTTTTTTCCAGATAATTTGTACTAATCTTGTGATCTGTTGCCACAATTTTAACCTGTTAATGTTAACTTCCGTGATATCTGGCTCAGGGATCGAATTAATTGCTCTACCAATTAAAAATGCCCAGGTGTTAGAACCTCTAAATCATCAATGTCCGAAGACAAGGGTGTCAATGGTCGGGAATTTAAAATTCCTTCAATCTGAATCATAATTGTTAAAAATTGTTCAAATGTCAATTTTGCATTACCTACGACACGTTTGAAGTGGTACTTAAAAGATTTAACTCCAGCCTCCCAAAGGCCTCCAAAATTAGGGTGCTCTGGGAGGGAGAAATTTCCATTCGATATTCTCAGAACTCAAATAACCAGCTAAAAGCTCATCTTGTTCGTTCACTAGTTTGTTTAACCTCTTTAATTCTGCATTTGCACCTACAAAATTCGTAGCGTTATCACTAAATAGTGTTAAAAACTTTTACCTCTTCGTGCAAAGAAACGTTTCAAGGTAGCTATTAATGCTTCAGATGTTAGGTCTGTTATCAGCTCTAAATGAATGGCCTTAGTAACCATACAAATGAATATACACACATAAACTTTTGATATATACCTTTTCTCTGGTTTTTGTACTTAATTAAGAATGGGCCACAGAGGTCAACTCCAGTACAATTGAATGTAAGATTAGCTGTGATTCTTTCCTTGGGTAAATCACCCATGATTTGCTGAGCTACAATGGGATTAGCTTTAAAACATATTATACAATTTTTTACAATTTTTCTACAAACATTTCTACCACTTACAATCCAAAATTTTTGTCTTATATGATATAACAAAGATTGAGGACCCACATGCAAATATTTTAAATGATAGTAATTAACTATTAACTCTGTTAATTTATGTTTAGAAGGCAGAATAATAGGAAATTTTTTCTCATAAGTTAAATTGCTATTTTTTAATCTACCTCCAACTCCAACTCTCAACAGTCCATTACTGTCAATGAAAGGGTTAAGACTTTTAATAGAACTATTTCTTGGAACAATACCTGATTTTTTAAGATCATTTATCTCATTTATAAAATACTCACCCTGTACTAATTTTATTAAAGTTTCTTCAGCTGCTCTCAATTCTCCCACTTGTAAATTACCTACCTGCTTTTGTTCTTGCTTACAATTCTTGTAAAACCTAAAACAAAAACTTATAATACGAATTAATTTTAAATACTTATTACTGCAATTCAATAAATCATTAACAAAATTATTCACATTCAGATTTAAACATGTAGATAGTTCAGAATCAGCAAAGTTTTTAAGTTCATTACTGTCCTTTTCAGTAATTGCTTCAGGTATAACTCTTATAGGGTACTCATCCTTCATTAAGAAGTCAGGCCCGTTCCACCACAGTTGACTTAGTTGCAGTTTTTTTTTTGGCAGACATACCTCTAGATATGAGATCTGATGGGTTTTCTTCAGAAGCGATATGATGCCACTGTGCTATTTCAGTCAGATCCTGTATCTTTGAAATCCGGTTTGCAACAACAAATGTCTTGAGCAGATGTGGCTCTTTGTTGATCCATGACAGCACAATCATAGAATCGGTCCAAAGGTGGAATAGCAGTAAGCTCCAATTTTAACGATGATTTCACTCGATGCATTAGTTTAGCTAATAGCACTGCTGCGCAAAGCTCAAGTCTTGGGATTGTAGTCTTCTTTAGGGGGGAGAGACACGCGATTTACTGCACACCAACCTCACTGATGTATGGTTTGTTGCTGATGTTGCTTTACAGTAGATAACTGCTCCATAGGCGGCCTCTGAGGCATCACAGAAACCATGTAATTCAATCTTGATTCTATCCGGTAATAAAATACATCTAGGGACTTCAATGTTGTTAATTAGCTGCAAGGTAGTGGAGAATTCTTTCCATTCTTTAGCCTCCTTTTCTGGCAAAACATCATTCCAGCTCAATTTTAACAGCCGTAATTTCTAAATAAATATTCTGCATAATAACTCCACTCTTCAAAATGCCTATTAACTGATTTTGAAGTTCTAACGCAGAACTTAGCGACTCAGCTCCAGATAGAATATCGTCCATGTACATGTCTTCTCTCAGTACAGGTGCTGCTCTCAGTACAGAAGTTCTAACGCAGAACTTAGTGACTCAGCTCCAGATAGAATATCGTCCATGTACATGTCTTCTCTCAGTTCAGGTGCTGCTAAAGGAAATTTATCTCCTTCATCCTTTGACAGCTGTACAAGTGTTCTCATTGCTAAAAATGGCGCACTCACAGTTCCATAGGTAACGGTGGTTAGCTCAAAGTTTTTAACTGGCTTATCAATGCCTTCTTTCCATAAAATCCTTTGCAACTTCCACTGATCTGGATGGATAGAAATAGCTCGATACATCTTTTGTATATCAGCAGTGAAAGCAAAAATATATTTCCTGAATCTCAGCATAATTGAGAATAAATCATCTTGTATCACACCTCCATTATACTGTATAGAATTTAGAGAGTTTCCTTTGGTTGTCAAAGAAGAAGCGTTAAATACTACCCTCAAGGGAGTCGACTTACTTTTCTCTTCTCCCCTATATACTCCAATATGAGGAATGTAATATGAACCTCGTTCCTCCTCGCTTTCACTCACCTCAACCATATGTCCTAACTGTTGATATTCTTTTAAAAAATCTGAATATAATTTTAAATATTCGGGATTCTTTACTAAGCGTTTCCATAAGGAATTTAATTTACTCGTTGCAATTTGTTTAGAACTTCCTAAAGTGTCCGGATCCTCCTTTAATGGCATTTTAACAACGTACCTACCGGTTTTTATCTCGTGTATAATTTTCTACGAAATGTTTTCTCACAAATTAAAAATTCTTTGTTTTTGGGGTTTATCAGTTTCAATATTTTCTAATTCCCAAAATTTTTTCTAAGAGTTTTTATCTAAGTTATCTTCTTCCTTTATCAACCCACAATGAACCCTGTTTTCAGTCTCTGTTGGAATACTTCCAGACACGATAAAACCAAAAACTGTATCTTGAAAAATAAGATCAGGATTATTCATTCGAATTTGACTCGGTTTCAAAAGTTCATAAAAAACTCCCGCTCCCAACAACATATCTATCTACCCTTTCTGGAACATTAAATCCTTCATCTGCTAATTTTAAATTAGGAAGATCTTGCACTGAAATTTTAATTTTGCGCGAAGGTGTTAAATCAGCAGTTATTTTTGGAATTACTAAAAAGTCCAAATTCTTTATAAAAGTTCCTTCTTTATTGCATATCGAAGCATTAATTTTATGCTTTATTGTTAAAGTAGCATCATTTATTCCCGAAACAGAAATGTTTGTTTTTTCTTTCTCTAACTGCAAATGCTCAATAAGATTCCGTGTCAAAAAGTTCGACATACTGCCCCCGTCCAGCAAACACTTCACTCTGTGTTTTTTCCTCTCGTTATCAATTACAAAACATAGACTGTTGAAAGCAGAACTGTACTCTGTTTATTCGAATAATTGCTAATAAATGGCTTTTGAACGAACTCCTGCGTATTAACATTCAAGGTCGATGAGTCATCTCGTTTGGGAATGTTGCAGGCAGATACATTTGTTTTTTTTTTTTTTTTTTTTTCTTTTATTTTGTTCCGATGAAGAACATTCTTTTCTCCTTTACGATATTATTTACTTTCGGAAAGTGAATAGTTTTGTGGTGCCGTTTTTTACAAAAACAAGAATATTTCGATGGGCAATTTGATACTGAATGCATTTGTAGACAGTTAAAACATAATTTATTAGATTTCACAACCTGTACTCTTTCTTGTACCGGTAATTTTAAATACGATGGGCATTTTGCCAATCCGTGATTCTCGTGGCATAAAATACAGTTCTCTGTTTTAACATCTGATAAAAACACTTTAGCTACACTTTTTGAGCTATTATACTTACGATTAACATGAGAATTCTCAGTAAGAGGTTTTCCTCGTGACGTGAAATATAAATCTATTTCTTTACCTAACTCACTAGGTGAAAACCATGAATCACCTTGCCTCACAGCAATGTGAGAAGCTGTTCCCGTATCTAAAGATTGGTATAACCTATCTGAAACTATTAGTTGTTTGAGGGTCTCGAAGTCAGTTACCTTCCTTAATTTTAAATAATAATCCCAGCAGTTACTAAGCGAGAAGCAAACTGCACATGAGTTTCATGTGGTTGTTTAACAGTTTTTCTAAAGTTTTCTAAACACGAATATGGTGTTGGCTGAAACTCCTTCAGAACTACTTCTTTTACTTTTTCATAATTCGCGATATCCTTATCATGTAAATAGGTTATTATATTCGAAGCTTTGTCTCCTAACAGATTTAACAGAATTTCTGCTTTATAGTCCTCCGAAACATTTTTTGTAATAAACGCTCGTTCTAATGACGAAAAGAAAAATCCCCAACTCTCAGGCCGTATAGGAATTTTTACAGTTAAGGTTCTGATACTTTTTATTAATTGATCTAGTGACTCTGATTTTGTTTCGGTTTCGCTTACACCATTAAGTTTAGTTTCTGCTTTAAGCTTAGCCAACTCTAACTCATTCTTTGATCTCTCAAGTTTTATTTTTCTAACTCGACAAGTTTTTGCTCTTTTTGCCTGTTTTCTATTTTCGATAATAGAGTTTGCTATCTCTTTTACTAAATCTTGTTTAGTTTTAAAATTTCACTATTCTCAATAATATCAGTCAAATCTGCTATAGTCATTTTTTTTCGTCAACATTTAGATTTATTTCTAAGGCAATAAGCCTTAAATCTTCTTTTTTAGCACCCTTAAATAACATTGTTATTTATAACAGAACAAAGCACAGAAAGTAATAGAATTAACAAGAGAGGAATCACTTACCTCTGCAGTGATTCATTTTTGATAAATATCCATATCAAGAATGAATGACGACAAATTTTGAAAAGAATGAATTTCGCGACGTGCTTTACTGCCATCGAAGTAATGCTTTTCGATTAGGGGAATTCCCCGAGGAGATGGCGTAAGGTAAAACCTTTATAATCATTTTTTCCGGAGGAATTCAGCGTGGCAAAGCTTGTAATTGAGCTAATGCTGCAAAATAAAGCTCTGATAGGAATTTTACTGCAGTTACTACTCCACCAACTCGTTATTTGAAACGTTCTGTTCAGTTTCAAAAATATAATGAACATGAAGAACAGTTTGCTACATTTTAGAAAGATTTGAAAATCTTTTAAAGAATTTTATGGCTGCTGTTAATTTTTCCGATAAAGATTATAATGTGTTATAAACAACTCTGAGAAAACATTTAAATCCTAAGCCACTTATAATTCCTAGCAGGCATTTATTTTTAAATCAAAAGCAGCACGAGAGGGGAACAATTAGTATGTATATGGCATTTGCCATACCGTGTGCTTACGATCAGAGCACGATAAATAGGAAGTTGCGGTATGTGTTTGTGAGTGGTTTAAGAGATAGGGATATCTTGCATAGAATGTTTGATGAGGATAAAATCAGTATAGACGACACTTTAGAAATAGCTTTGGCAATGGAGAAAGCCTTAAAATGTGCAAACGAAATATTTGGAAACCAGTAGAAATTAAGGAGTTCAGTGCCGAGGGTAAAGGTAAATCTAAGTCAGGTGCTCTGAAATTTTGGAAAACAAAACTTTTCAGTTAAGAATGCTAGAGGTAAAATGTATTCGCTGTGCACGCGGACTGACCATGATAGAAAGTCTTCTTAATATAAAACAAGTATCTGCACATTTTGTAAGAAAATCGCGCAGATTGAAAGAGCATGTTTTACCGTTAGAAACGCTGAAGGAAAGAAAGCCAAAAAAAAGCAACTAATTGTAGGAAATGAAAACACACTTCCTATATCATACATTTCAGTGAGGTGGAGAATAGGAAACCGCCCATAATGGTCCAAGTGAACGCAGAAAGTAAACCTGTAGTTATGGAACTGGTGTGTGGTGTATTTAATTATGGCAAAGCACACTAGGGCTATCTAGCCTAAGGGAAGGAATGCCTTCGTGGAGGACTTTCTAAGGGAAACTGGCTCGTATACACGTTACAGATGGGAAAAACCACGAAAACACTGCAGCCAGCCCATTCGCGGGATTCGAACCTCGGACCGAACTACCAGTGTTCAGCGACTTTACCGCTCGGCTGCTGGTGGGCGTTATGGAACTGGACAAAGTGGGTACAGAATCGGTAATACGTTTAAAAATGTTTCTAGCATATTTCGAAAAATAAAATTCGAAATGCAAGTCTAGTATTTAAAACGTAGGATTGTAAAAAACTAATGCTTTTAAGGAATTGCTACAGTTAATGTAGAACACAAATGTCAAAATAAGAACTTAAATCCGTACATTATTAAAGAAAATCTTGATACAATATTTGGTCGGTCGCGAACAGATTTCAGCGATTAAATTTACATTGGACCTCAATGAAGTCAGTTTCTCGCTCTCAGAAGAGTAGTTTAAATAAATTTTGAAGAATATTAAGAGATTTCTGACGAAAATTAGGGGAGATAAAAAATTATGAGTTTCAACTTGAATTAAAGCCAAATGTTTCACCAAAATTTCGTAGAGCTAGAC